GGTCTGGGGCGGGGAGGGGAGGGCTCCTTTTCTGGCGTTTTTCGTGTAGAATTTCCACTTGTCGCTTTCAAGGTGACGTTTTAAATACGTCTTTAGGCTTGCTAAGTCCGACCGGTACCAGAACGCCGGTAGGCACTGCTCTAGGGACAGGTCCAGTCAGACAAGGGGAGGAGGCGAGTTACACACCCCCACCGCTATAGTAACAGCTTACCAGACTTCACTCAGGTGCTGCAGCGCTTGTCTCCTGGAGCACGTCCTGTTCCTGGCCCTGTAACGGCTCCTCCCAGCATTTCTGAACTGAAATCTTGACACAAACCTGAAAAACGTAAGGGAGCAGGAGAGGCTCCACTGTGTTGCTGTAAGAGAGTCTTCCTTAGATCCAGCTTGTTCTTGAGAAAGGGCTTGGCAAAGCTGTGCTGTATAGACACGTTCAAACCATCTCTGTGCCAGCCTGGACTCCCCTATGCAAGTCACTTGTTTTCAAAAACATGGTTGGCAAATACTTACCATGAGTTTAATTACTCAGTGCTCTTCTGCAGATTGTAATACAAAAGGGCAGTCTTCGATGTAGAGCTTAATTACACACACTTCAGAGATTCAAACACAGTTAAATTTGTTCTGTTTTAAAAAAATAAAAAAGGCAGAAAGGAGAGCTTCACAAAAAATATTTTTAATATGTTTTACCAGAACTTTTCACTTTTCCAGTTACATAGAAAGAAAAAAAAAAAAAAAGAGTTTGGTACATAGGGGCTAAAACCAACCAGTGTTCTCCCCTGGAACAGATGAATTAATCTTATGATCCAACTCTATTTTCCTGGGCTCTTTAAAACAAAGAAATAGCTATTTTTCCTCCCAAAGCACAGTATTTCTTCAGCAGCAATGGAAATGGGATCACAGCAGCTTAACTTGACCCTTCTATAAAGCATTGTATAAACCAGTGATTTATGATGACAACACTGTCCTTGAAAGAAAGAGCGGCAGTCAGACATCGATGCAAACATGGAATGATTAGGTCATAAACATATGGCACTTAAAAAGATAGCTTATTTGAAGGCACCACCACAGCAGAGTGGCCAGCTGTTTTACTATATGCCCCAAAAAAAGAAGTTTTCTTTCTAAAATTTATAAAACTATTTTAAAAAAACCAATTTGTACCCAAAACATGTGCTTTTAAAAAAATATGAACTGTGCTAAGCAACTCTTAAAATTTTGGTATATTATATATGTGTATACATATATACATACACACACCAAAAAAGCATGCGTGTTTGTATATATCTATATTATCTATTTTCCCTTTAAACTTATAAGGCTTCAGGAGTTGGTTCTCACATTCAGTAGCTTTCTAGCTTAAGACGACCTCCATCTCCTTCACTCACAAAACGCTTTCTGCCCCTGTAAGAAAAATAGAAAGTATATTTTCAGTGATTCAAAGTAGCACTGCTTGGTTTTTTTCTTATCTGTCACTGAGAAGAATTTTCTCTTGGTCTTGGGAGTCAAATACAAGGTGTGCAAGTTCAGCAAGATTAGCTGACATTCTTGATCACTGATAAATTGCTTAAAATATAGCTGAATCTTACATCTAGGTTTATTTGCAAGAAGCAAATTGGTCAACAGCTGGCCGAACATGAGCTGGCAGTGTGCCCAGGCAGCCAAGAAGGCCAACAGCATCCTGGCCTGTATCAGAAAGAGCATGGCCAGCAGGACCAGGGCAGTGATCATCCCTTTGTACTCGACACTGGTGAGGCCGCAACTTGAACACTGTGTTCAGTTTTGGGCCCCTCACTACAAGAAGGACATTGAGCTGCTGGACCGTGTCCAGAGAAGGGCAACAAAGCTGGTGAAGGGTCTGGAGCACAAGTCTTACGAGGAGTGGCTGAGGGAGCTGGCGTTTTTTAGTCTGGAGAAAAGGAGGCTGATGGGAGACCTTATCGCCCTCTACAACTACCTGAAAGGAGGTTGTAGCGAGGTGGGGGTTGGTCTCTTCTCCCCAGTAACTAGCGATAGAACAAGAGGAAATGGTCTCAGATTACTCCAGGGGAGGTTCAGGCTGGATATTAGGAAGAACTTCTTCACTGTAAGAGTCATTAGGCATTGGAACGGGCCTCCCAGAGAGGTGGTGGAGTCACCATCCCTGGAGGTGTTCAAAAAACGTTTAGATGTGGTGCTTCAAGACATGGTTTAGTGGGTTTAGCAGGCATGGTGGCATCAGGTATACGGTTGGACTTGATGATCTTTGAGGTCTCTTCCAACCATAATGATCCTATGATTCTAAGCTTTTCAAAATGTGCGTGGTCAAGTTCTTTCTACTTTGTTCACCTTTTGATGTTCACACTTGCAAAAGATGCTAGTTTGAAAGCCCAGGAATGGTGGTTTTTCTACCCAAAATTGAAGCACCTAAGCTAAAATTGCCTCTCAGCATATTAATGGTAACGGAAGTATAACCAAGCTTTTGTGGCAGTGATGACTTTCAACCCTCCCATACCCCAAACCTGCAAAGCATTTGATACCAAGATACACACAAACTCAATTTTAAGTCTAAAGTCCACAAATGGCAGCTGTTTTTGATAGACACTAAAATTTCAAAACCTGAATTTATTGCAAGCTGTCAAGATGGTTCAAGAAGCCTAACAAAACACCCAAACTGGAAAAGATCTGTCTAATAAACAGTATTCCCGATGCATAAAACTAATAATAGTTTTAACATCATATTTTTAAATTTACATGTATTCCCCAGAGGAAATGAAACTTCTTAATTGTATTGTGACCAGTAAGGAAAGAACAGAATACTGATTAGCTGCAGTTCAAACAGCATTATTTATGCTATAAGTCAGCAATAACAAACCAAAAGCACTATACAAACCACATGACAGACAGATAGGAAGGGATCAGGCGTGTAGAGCTTATTCTACATAAGTCTCCTATTCCTTTTGGCATAAACAGTAGAACTGGTTGTCTCATCTTAGAGCTCTATTCATGTTTTTGTATGTTTAAACCATTTTTAAGCAGGTTTTTTCACGTTTTTTTTTTTCTTTTTCCACTGCAGCTGACAGTTTTCTACTGTCACCTACATGGATCATTGTGATGCCTGAATCTTCCATCTCAATACTGCACTGATCTCTACCAAGCAAATTGGCAAAAAAGAGGAGAGGCGGGGCCTTCATCCTCTGGAGAGCACACAGGAGCGCTGCTGCCTGGGACTCACCACAGGCTTACTTTCCTCAAGTATTTATCCCAGCCTCCACATATCAAGAAGCTGCACTGATGTGAAACCTGTTAAACTTTTTACCAGTCCAGCCCTCCGTTTCTCCACCCTCTATAGTTTCCAGTTGCAATCTGTAATACTTTGGACATAAGATCCCCCTTTCCGTTACCTACAATGGAGACAAAAAGCAGTGCGTTCACCTATCTACAATAAAACGAGTACCTTGAAGGACAGAGGTCTCTCAGTGGTTTGGAGATCATTCCAGCCTGAAAGCATTCCTCTACAAACCGCTCAAGCACAGAATAGGAGTGTGGCACATCCAGGTTAATATCTGGAATTTCACGATAAACTCGTTCATAGCCCTGCAAGGTAAGAATTCAAATAATGATGTGGTTATTCTATGATTTTACTACAAATTTTTTAAATACCCTTTTTGCACTCTTGTGGATTTATTTTTCAGTATAGTTTCAGGTATACTATGGACAGTTTCAACAAACCTAAAGCAGAGCAGCTGCAAGTCAGTGGAAAAGCAAGGTATAATACCAGCCAATGGCATGGTATTACACAACTACCTATCTACATAAAAACACCAGCTGAATTTTTAACTTCTTTAGAAGCCAGAAATCCAGACAGTACAGAATGTGTATATTAGCCTGGCTGCTATCACATGGGTAGTAACGCAAGGGAGAAAAGTTAATTGGGTCTTCCATGTAAATGAGGAAAACTTTGCTACAAATCTCCACCACAACAGTTTTATGCAGTAAGGGAAACACTGGTGACAACCAGAGATGACTTCACTTCCCACCAGCAATTTTCAACTGTGTAAAATACTAGCTTCTATATACTGTTCTAATTGACATTTGTAATTAAGTGGGTTCTTACTGTTCTTCAATTATGAAGAATTACTGGATAAAAAGAAAAATTACATTTACGAAAAATGAAGCTATATTGCAGCATTTTAAATGATGACTTTTAACCATTTAATTGCATAAAAGCAATTGGAAATCTTTGACTGAAGATTCAGATAACCTGTACCTCACAGTTCTACAGAGAACTGCTGCTCAGAATTCACTTGTACTTCCTTCCAGTTCATGACAAGTACTGTACATACATCAGTGACAAGACTATTTGTATGGGATACAGAACAACTGTGGAGAATTTTATAAAAAAGCAGCAGTCAACAATAGACTACAAATAGTACTTAAAAGAAGGTAAAAACTATACAAATTTTGGAAGACCTTACCCAAAATACTCTAAATGCCCCACTTACTCTTTTCATTTGGTCCACAGTAATGACAGAAGACCTCCAGAGAGATTTCAACAAATCCAGTATCATTTTAAAGGTCTTTTCTCCAGTTGACTCCAAAACCATCACAACAGCCTAAAACAAATTGTGCAAGTGGTTCAAGTACATGTTGTGTAAGCACATGAGGTGCGAAAAGGAGTGAATGCATTATTATGCATTTTCTGGGGAGACAAGTCCATTTGTTACATGCAATCTCAGTTTATTATTATTTGAAAAGAAAAACTGATGAAAAGTTATTTGGATAAAGAGGTATGAAAAACCAGAAAGGACTAGACAAGAGTGGAAAGCATTACCTTTCTGACTCTAGTTTGAGAGATACACAACTATATCCATATGGTTGCTGCAGTACAGATGGCAATTAATTTTGTGAAATTCATTTTGTATCTATGATTTTTTTGTATCTCTGATTTTAGAAGATCTTAGACGTTTAAAAATCTACAAATCTCCACAACCCCCATCAACTAAAAGGATTCTGTTTTTCTACTGTGAAGGATTCAATTTACTGAAGAGCAAATTTTGGAGATTGTGGGTGTTCACCTTTATTGGTAAACAACCATTCCCCAGTTTGGCAGATAGGAGTACAAATGAGAAGAGTCTCCCAGATACAGCAAAGAAGATCCTTCTCTCAGATAGTCTGGCTCTGAAATATCTCAAGAGCTTTTCCAAGTATGCTAGACAGAACAATGCCATTCTGAAAAGGAAGCTCTATAACTTAACAAAATGGGTAACACCCATCAGAATACCCAGACAGCTGAAACTAAAACCACCAAAACAAAGCATGTTTTTTTGCTGCTATTCCTCAGCATAAAATAAACCGAGCTGCTATTTTTCAGGAATCTATAATAATCTGAATTCAGCTATTTACCCAATGAACAAAAATTAATTCTGGATCTTCCCAGAGTTAGCAGCAGCTTACTTGTTGGCACATTGTACACATAGACCATTAACTTTACATGAAACAATTTAGTTATTCAAATAACATCAGAACTTGCAACCTGAGCTTCAGATTCCAGTTACATTATTTGCATGCCCACATCAAAACCAAACCAAACCTGTTAGTAATACCAACAATTATTAAAGGGACTCTGATTTCTCCTTACTTCATACACAAGTTCATGGTGAAAATGGGGTACTTCCAGTTCCTGAAGGCAACGTTCAGCTTCCAGTACATCTCCGGAAAGCAAATACTCTTTCAGCAACATATCAATCTATTGAATTTTAAAACAAACAAAAAGCCCAACACTGATTAGGTATAAAATTTAAAAGCTGTCAACTGTTTTGATAATCTGCGATCAAGCCAGCAGCAAGTTAGTTCCTGAAACTTGCTGATGGTGTTTTTATAAATGTAATTAAATTGAGACATTATCAGCGACCTGAAACACAGTGTAAGCCAAATACCTATCCGTAGTGTTAACACAGACACACAAGCACCAAAAACATTGCTTTCTAAGATGTGTATCACCATAAAAGGTTAATAAGGGTACAATTAAGTTTATCTTTGCCCCCAAACTCCTCCTCCTCCTCCTATCATGTTACGCTCACAACCTATAACTTTTATAAACTGAATTTGTCCTTTGAACCTGTGTACTTCACAGCATGAATCTCTAAACATTTCTAGTTCTTCCTCTCTCTTTTTTTCAGTTATTACTGTGCATTTAATCATTGATGCCAAAAAATAATAGTTTATCTAGTTTAGCCACTTTCATCTTGGCTCTTCTAGTTACTTCACCATTTTATATTGTAAGCTCTTAAAAAGCTACGTGCTTGAAAGTTTTGGTTAAAGCAAAAATACATACATGATCTACATCAGTTTTTAAAAACTACTTTGTATAAATGAATTATTAAAAACACAAACCCAATACTCAAGACATCATTTTGCTAAAGGACATATGGATCTCTTCACTCCATCCCAAACAAGATAAGCTTAGACAAACAGCAAACTCTAGAGAAGTGTTTTGCAGAAGTCAGTTACCTCTTTAACAAGGTGTTTCACAGTCTGCTGGCCGCCTCCTGACCCCCACACGTTGTCTATACGCTTTCCACCCTTTGTCATACTCAGCAACACAGTAGCTCGGTCCAGAGCAGCTCTAGAAAGCAAAGTTACTGTTTTAAAAAGTTATTACAGAACTTCATTAAAAGGCATCTGTAACTTCCCCCACTGCCATTCCTTTTTTGGCAAAGTAACCAGATCCCTGGGAAGAGGTCAGGGTTAGCAACTCCATGGGGACATCTGGATCAAGAAGGCAGCGAGCTAGTTCCCCATGTTCTCTCTGCCACCTTTACACTTTTGGATATACCATGCTTAGGACAGGTAACAAATCTGTGATGGCAGCAGATCTGAATCATCAATGCAGAACCTGAAACATCCTCACAAGAACGAACTTAGTATTTTCTTATGCAAAGACGGATTGTATCCAGGCTCCTCCAAGAATGCAGCTTGGTATGTGTATCTCAAAAGAGGCTTGAGTTGCTTCCACACTGAAGAACAGCTTTTCTACTGAAATATTTTCTGTTTGGGTCTAAAAAATTATGAAACTTTGAGAATTTAAGCCAAAACAGCACTTCAGAAGGAAAATACGTAGTTGCAAAAAGATGGTGTGAACTAGGGAAGCTTGCCAGTTCGTTGAGAAAAGAATGAAAAAGGAAGTAAGGTGAAAAAAAGACATCTCAAATCCAGTTAAGCACCCTCCAGCTGAAGAAGGAACAGTTATCTCAGTCCTCATACTGGGGGCTAGCCAATAACAATAACTCTATTCACCAAGACTTAACAAGCAGAAAAGACTGGCCAAGAAAAAGCAAAGGTAGCAAAGCATCCCAGATGTGCAGTATGCAGCCTACAATCCTTCAAAATCACCTGAGATATCTGTATAACTGACAGACAATTTTCACAATTTGAAACCTCACATTAGGCAGCTAAGCACTTGCCTTCCTTCTAGAAAGTACTCAATTATAGTCATTACAAATGGAACTTTTAGAAGCTACAAGAGTTCAGCACCTCCATATCAAGCCCGAAAAATACACTTACGGGGGAAAAATAACAAAACATGACCAGTTATTAAAATGTCCCTCTGTCAGAGATTGCTCCTTCAAACTTCTCACCCTGACAGGGAAAACAATTACACTTCTTGATGAATAATGCACTACAGAGAAAGTCTGGGAAAGTACTGCACAAGCTTCAAACCCTTATAAGGCAAAACAGTTAATCCCCTGTGTATTTCACAACATATTTACAGCAGCTGCCCTGATACTATATTTACTCATTAATCACATTAAAGCTTTTTCTAAAGACAAAACCTTCTATAATCACTTCCTAGTTTTAGCTCATTTTTTTTTCACCCTCAAATATAAGCTGGACAACAAACCCGATAAACTGAACTCAAATGTATATTAATACATTTTTCAGGCACTTTCAGTATTTCTCATGTGATCTGAGTCATTCTGGATTTTGTTGTTGTAATTGCAGACTTTGTGGGTTTCCTTTTTATCATTTTAAAATCAAAAATTAAGAAGCTGTAGAGAACCACATGATTTATCCTGAAGTCTTAAAGTCCTGAGGATCATCTTTGGCATTTGGAATAGAAAACAGTAGCTATACAGAGAGCAAGAAAGTTACCGAGCTTGGACGCAATCCACAGTGCCTTTGTAGCCATCTATGTAGGTATTGCTTAGAATTCCATCTCCAACAGCTCTAGCAATAAACTGGCCCACCAACTGCAACAAAACAAGCATTTTTAATTAAATGTTGAATTTCAAAGTAGTTCTAAGTAGACAATTATAATGTGCCTGGTTTTCAGATTTTATCTAAATGAGCCATCTCAAAGTAAAAACACAGCCTGGGAAATTGGTATGGTATTACAGACAGTAAGACAATCCATAGTTCTTTTTCAAAATACAGAGTCTATTTCAGTTTACTCGATCAATTTTAGCCACAATTTAAAAGAAAAAGCTTTTGACTACTAACATAAAACTTTACAAATATACCTGTGGTGCCCTGGGAGAATCCAACACCAATTCAGGTAGTTCTTTAAGCAGTCTATCAAATGATTTTTCCACATCGATTTTGCTTACTACTGTCCCACAAAGGTCAGAGATAAGCTTAGATGTCATTTCCCTGTGACTAGCCTTCCCCTCTAATGCCAAGGAAACAGCCAGCACTGGCACACTGTATTTCATTTCACCAAGGTTTAAATCCTTCAGCATCTCCTAAATAAGATTTGAAAAACAAAGCAGATTAAGATTTCATAATTCTTATTATATAAATATATATTATATAAATATAGCACAAATATAAGCATATAAGCATTTATATATTTATGTATTTACATACACGCTTCCGCTCATATAATGAATATAACTGCTTAGGTATTCGCATTGCACATTTCTTGCCAACATCTCTATACACTCATTTACAGCTAGCAGTTGAATTCCCTTGTATGCTACAGGTTTGCCCCCTAAAATAAATAAGTAAAAAGGTATGCGACATACCGAAACTTCATTAGTATCTCCATGTTCAAAATATTCCTGTATGATTGGTGTTAAAGTTTTTTCAAATGCTCTTTCATCCAGAGGTAAAACTACTGTCTCATAGACACAGTTCTCCTATTTCAAAATACAACAAAAGCATATACCCTTTTGTAAACAGTGCTGTCTCTTCTTATATCTTAAGCAGTGCTAATAGCATCAAAATATATCTTCTAAATCGTTAATGCTTTAGTCTTGGTAGCCAGTATTCTATCAGAAAACATCAGATTATGTCTCTACTATTAGTGTGGACAATGCTGTCTAAATGTCATGCTTCTTGAATTTTGAATTTACTGTTAGCTGTAAATTGAATTTACTGTTAGCTGAATTCAACTGAAAGGCTGAATTTACCGTTAAACGATGGTAAAAACTCCAAACTCTGTTCCTAGGATTCTGCTGACACCACATGCACACAGAGATCAAGCGCCTATGTACTGAAGGGAGCGTGACAGAAACTCCCAGCCCAGCCCAGCAGCGTTAGCTATGCCACAGCACAAGATTTAACTTTCAGCACCTTTCCCTGCAAGTGGCACTCCAGCCCCTGACAGCAAGCCTGCCTGCTTTCCCTCTTCCTTAGTGACTGCAGGACCAGACAAGTAATGAATGGCATGTACAAGTCAGAGAAAAAGCATTTTCAGAATACTTCTGAGTGAAGACATTCCCTAAGGGGAACAAAGCATCACACAGCAACTGCCTCCTGTATAACCTGGTCCTGCAGAGTTCCAGTATGACCAGATCTCCCCACCGTAATTCAGTTCCCTGCTCCTCACAGGTGACAGGAGTAACATTCAGAGCAATACTACAGATCACAGAAATCTGAACAAAGTGTTCCAACTAATACTTATTGGAAAGAAGCCTTCCATGATCAAGAAGTATAGCAGAAGTTCAAAAGCCTGTCCTTCCATCACATCAGTCTCCGTTTACAACCTTAGAAAAGTTAAACATAAACAAGTTCCAGGGAGTATTCATTCTTCATTAAACTTTATTTTATGCGCTCATCAGCTTCATTTTTAATAGCGCTCTCTGTTAATGTAAAGCGTTGAATTGCAGGGAAAAAAACTGATACTGGAAGAAGGTTTTGATATTCCCACATACCATCCTCTCAGCAGCTATGGCGACAGCAAACAGCCTCTGCTCAAAGGACAGCACCATTGCTCTGCTTATGTTATACAGAATTTACTTATGGTCTCACAATTGTATTGATCTCAGAGACTTTAGTAATCTGTGTTTGTAATCACTGTTTCCTTTCCTCAGGGATTTAATGTTTGCCCAATGAGCTTTACTTCCCCCCCGCCCCAATAATATGGCTGCAAGGTACAATCTTCCACAACATATTCTAAATAAATACATGTAAGCAAAATGTACAGGCTATCTACTTTGCACTAGTTGGAAGTGTTTAGCAGGGTTGGGAATACAAGGAAGAAAAAAAAAATCCGTAAGGGATACTGTCCCCTACTAAATTCCCGACTTGAGAAAGTCTGTGTTACATTTTTAACACGGTGCCTGTTTGCAATATAGAGCAGCACTGCAACATTCACCTCCATGGGAACCAGCAGCGAAGCACACACCTGGGAAAAGGGTGCTGCCTAGTCAGGCACAGAACAAGGGCTTGTGGGTTAAGCTTTGCAAGTATTACACTGTGACACTTCTACACCAGCTGTCTTTCACCAGCCAATGAACATAAAAATGAGCATTCATTACAGCCAGGCTGGCATTCACATAACTCACAAAGTCAAACTTCCATTAATACAAGCATCACAGCAATTGAAATCAATAAAGGAAATAAAAATCAACACTGCAAAGAAATCATTTGCCTACCTGGTCATCATCATAATTAGGATCCTTAATATCTACTTCTTCCACATCATACACTTGACCTGGTGTTCCCCAAACTCCTTTACCACCTGCTCCACCTGGCAAAATATGGGACAGTAAGCAAGGATCGCCAGTTTACAAAGAATACTTCCGAGTTCAACTCAACATTCTTTCACTTAAGAGTGATGTATCACTGCTTGTGCCCACCTCCTGCCTCTAACAACGTATGCTGAAAAGGGTGTGTTTGTGTGATGTGTCCCCACTTCAGCAACCAGTGTTTTCGTTGCTTTCCAGTAAGATACTAGAAGCAGTATGAAACTGCACAAAAATTAATGAAGGTTGAAACTGTACTTTCAAATATATCCATTCTGTTAAGTTTGCATTTATAACAGTCCTGTGATCCACCAACAGCTCAAATTTCTGTATTAAATTTGCTAAGAAAAGGTACTTACCTTAAAGCAGAAGTTAACTCATGATACACACATAAAATTTTCCAAGACCACCCCCCACTATTAGCTCCTATTGCCACCTACTATCTAACATAAAACCAAATGCCTGCACAGAGACTGTGGTTTATGAAAGTGATTCCCAGTGGGATTAAAAAAAAAAACAAACACAACTGTGTTTTGGACAGAATCTTTGTCTTTATCATGCTGCTCTCTTCACTGAGCTACACCAACCTTTCTTTGGTAGACCTCTTCCCTTTCCAGACCGGGATCGCCTATCCAGGAGTTTGCCCTTTGGGCTTGTTGGTACAACTCCAACCTTCAGTGTCTCTCCATTGTCACTAACAGAGTCTCCTCTCCCAGAATCTCTAGAAGAATTTTTCCTCAACCGTCTCTTTGCTTTAGCATTTATTTTGGCTTCAGTAATTGAAGTTGCAGGAATCCAATTTCCATTGATTTCCGTCTTTTGTTCCTCAGACCCACCATTTTCTTCATCACCGGAAAATGGAGCATCACTTAGATTCTCAAGTTCTTAGAAACGACACAGAGCAAAAAAAATCTGTTATAGTTTTAAACAGTTTTATGTTAGAACACCAAAACATGTTGCATTTAAAAAGGATTACAACATTAAATAGAACTCTCATTTCCAACAGTGTTAAGGCAAAAGATGTTGTTTTTCAAATACGTCTCCACATCACAGTAATAAGGAGTTCCTTATTCCCCAGCACAAACTATCCACAATCTAAATAGAGCATATGTCAAGAGTTGGAAAGCAAATGAATAAACCATTTATAAACAGGTAAACCACAGAAAAACCCCACCCTTGTTAAACACAAACTATCTGAACTCCTCAGTGCGTAAGATCTTAGTGCCTGGTTCTCACTCCACCCACTCATCTCTTGATTTAAAAACAAACAAAACTGCCAATACAGTAAATTTTGTAAGAACTCACTAATATTAACAGACTAGTCACCAAAGTGAAATTAATTTCCTAAATCATCAACCAACATTCCTCTCATTCAAGGAATTTCAAACACAGCTCACCAGCTGGAAAAGCAATGATTTAAACTTACAAGAATACAAAAACATCACTACTTTTATTTTTTGTTTAAAGTTATGGAAAAAACATGCCATTTAATACGAAGCCCCAGGGGAGTTTGGTAACAAATATTCACAGAATAGATAAAGTCTTTTGAAACAGTGATCTCTCTTCTTCTCTATGGATTGCCCCTCACTGTGGCTTCTGTCAAGACTGTTTCTAAAATAGCCATGGTTTATTCCCCAGCATAATCATACATAATAGGTAACTAGCTTTGTTTCATACCAACAAAAAAAAAACTTTCCCACAACTTAAGGATCTGTAAACGTCTCAGAGCACTGAGAAGTGTAGTAATTTCACTCTTTTGGGAAGTTAATGCACCTCTAAAATTTGGATCTAAAGTCTTTTATTTCGCAAAATTAGGATGTCCCCCACCTGAGCTGTTTTTTTCAGCAGAATGTCTTATTGACAGCATTATGAGCAAAAGCCTTTTTACGTTCTTCTTCCCCTTCTTAACCCATTAAGATAAAGAAAAGCACCCGGGGACCTATTTACATTCAAGTTAGTACCCTGGGAGTCTTTGCAAATTGGAAAACACACACACAAAGGGAAAAGCCTCAGCTCTCTGTTCCACAGCCCTTCTTTTCCTGAGGATTCAGTAGTCTCAAAGATACAACCTACAGCCCCAATCCTAGGAAGTGCAACGATGAGGCACACAAAAGAAGCTGCTTTTCCAGCTGCGTCAAGCCTGCTTTACAGACAAGTTCACTGCCATAAACCCAGAACATCAAGAGTGTTTTAAATTTGTATTTGAACTTAGCTGAATGTATTACTTCACCATTCCAATACGTTCTAATTAGCAACGTCATTTGGCAATACTTCTCAGAACTATATTTTTTCAATTCAAAACAGGTTCATGAGAAATTATTTTGAAAGCAAAGTGCACTAATAAAGCATTTCCAACCTCAAAGTATTTACCCATATCAAAGAGGATACTACAGTATAAAATGAAGAAAGTTTGATGCAACTGCCTCCTTTGTGATCAAAGAAATAACATTTAGATACTAGTGTTCACAGATGTGAATGCCATAGCTGAACAATAATGCAGCCATTCCAGGCCAAACTTCATCTACAAATATTCCAGCCATTCCAGTCCAAACTTCATCTTCCCACTCATTACTGCCACAAAAGCATTCCTTTTATGCTTGCAGCAAGCTAAAAAAGAAAAGCGTGCATCATATCCAGGAAAAGAATCCCCACAACAAGCTTTCTCAGTTTGTCTAACATTTTAATAAAACAATGAGAGATTTGCATAAAG